ATCTTGAAAGTAGAGATAGTGTCTGTCTCCTGAATCCAAACTGGAAGCTGGTTCCACAGAAGAGGGGCCTGAATACAAGACATGCACCTTCAAAGTAAAACAGGAAACACAGAACACAGGGAACCGCATAACAAAACCTAAAACTAGAACTCAGGAAATACTAAAGAGCTAGACATACTGAGACAGAAACGGCGATTAACCCAACAACCATCACTAACCCAGGACCGTGACCGTACTCCAACATTTGCAGTCTGGACCGCGGTTAGCTTGGACATTTCCAGATGAAAGAAGCAAAACAGCAATAAAGCACGTTCTTTTCACAGTAGTGTTACGGACTGATTCCTCTTAGTGCCGAGAGGAGAGTACGGGGAAATGATGCAGTCCTATGGAATACATGAATCTAAGTAAAGTCCCACTTTGTGCCCTTTGACAGGACGAGGAAACATGGTTTGTCCTGCTCTGCAGACTGGTCCTGCACCTCACAGGAAGCAGTCCATAAAATCAGTAAAGGAAAAGAAGCTGCAGAGCGAGTGTAGCAGGAAGGACAAAGTCCCCCCGAGGGCAGTTTATTCAACCCAGGTTTGGGATCATTCCCAGTCACACGATGATGCTTCCTGGATCTCGGCATCTGAGTTGGTTTAAATTAGAAAAAATAAGTAAGCTGGAATCTAGTAAGTACATTTACTCTATACTGTACTTAAGTAGTTAAGTAACTCACAGGTGGCCTGCTTTAGTTGTGGCTTCCCTTTAAAGCTCTCTTATTGTTGCTTCACTATATCTTATATTTTACTTTTTATTATCCGGCTGCTTATGTTACTGTCGGACTTTTATATAAGAAAGTCACCCAGCTGTGGATGTCAGTACAACTCAAATGATCAGTTAGTTAGTTTTTGATTTCCTTTTTGGTTTTAGACAAAAACAAAGAACTGGATCGAGAGACCGAATCTTGGGTCAGACAAACACCTGAAAAATGTAAAAAAGAAAAACAGATGAAATGTTCTTTTTATCTTGTTTTATTTCATCATCGAATGATTTGCAGAGAAACAGACAAAAGGCAGCCCCTCCTTCAGCAGAAGGACACGACAATGTGGTTCGTAAATGCTCCTCCTCCCTCGCACAGATCAGTCGACACAGTCAAACATCTGTTAATCTCAAATCTTTAGCAACAACTGGTTTTACATTAAACCAACATTTCTGTTTAATTACATTTAAATCATAGTAATAACAGTAGTATGTGTGTTGTTAAAAATGTGTTTAGACACAAGTTTTGTTGTGAACGTCCAGAAACCAGACGAGTGGCCTGTGAAATGGTTAAAGTGTAGTTTGGCTTTATAGTTTCTTCTCTTCACCAGGACAGATGAGCCCTTTGTCACAGGAGGTCAGTGAAGATGGTCACCTGCAGGTCCAGGCTCACTGCATCTCTAACCCACATCCACTGCTACTGTACTGAAGGGAAATTAAAGGCAGGCAGTCATGGAAACAAACCATCTATAAAAGTAAGTAAGTAAAATTTATTTATATGGCACTTTTCACAGATAAACACAGAAAATGGGAATATAAAAACAATATAACAGTAAATAAAACAATGTAAAACAATAAAACTATAAAAACAGCATAAGAAGAAATTAATCAAATGCTTTTCTAAATAAAAATGTCTTCAGCTGTTTCTTAAAAGAATCAGTGGAGTCCGTGCAGCAAAGAGACAGACACAGCCGTGGTGCCGCCGTCTGAAAGGCCCGATCACCACGAGTTTTAAAACGAGTGCGCGCTACCACCAGCAGTCTCTGATCTAATGACCTTAAAGCCCGAGAAGAAGTATGTGGTTTCAGCAGGTCAGATAAATATTGAGGAGCCTGACCATGCAGGGCCCTAAAGGTTAGAACTACAATTTTAAAATGAAACCTAAAATTTACAGGCAACCAGTGAAGGGAGGCCAAGACTGGAGTGATATGCGATCTTCTCTTGGTGCCTGTTAAGAGACGTGCTGCAGCATTCTGCACAGTCTGAAGACGATTTAAGGCTGATTTGTTAAAACAAGTAAAAAGGCCGTTACAGTAGTCTAAACGAGAAGAAATAAAAGCATGAATAATCATCTCAAGTTCAAGCTTTGATACCATTAGTCTGAGTTTAGAAATATTCCGTAAATGATAAAAACAGTTTCGGACCAGCTGCTCGAGCGACATCGAGCTGTCAAATATGACACCGAGATTTCTAAGGCTTGATTTTACAGAAGGGTCTAAGAAGCTGATATGCTGTCTAATTTCTGGGACCATGTGGTCTGGAGCAATAATTAGAGTTTCTGTTTTATCAGAGTTTAGTTGGAGAAAATTGTCATATAACCATTTGTTGATTTCTGTCAGGCAATTACTTAAATTAGACAATTTATAAAACTCAGACATTTTGAAGGAACAGTATAGTTGGATGTCGTCAGCATAGAGATGATAGGAGATATATTTATAGCGCTTAATAATTTGGCCTAGGGGAAATACATAAAGTAAAAAGAGAATTGGACCCAGGACAGATCCCTGAGGTACCCCACACGGCAAAACTGTTGATTCTGATGTGACATGATTCATGCAAACAGTAAAAGATCTCTCAGACAGATATGATATAAACCATTTTAAAACAACACCAGTAATCCCAAACAAGTTCTCGAGTCTGTTTATT